TATGCAACCACACAACTGCCCAATTCAACATTACTATTTTATAGGTCCTTCGAAGGCTTCTACCGTGCCAACGATGCCTGGAATGTCCCTTCCTAAGCCTTGAAGCACGACTAGCACGACCGCAAAATAATCTGGCCGCATAATGGACACACTCGATTGCAGTTTTGCCGTTCCGACCCGCTCCACGTCACCGTATTGTGGACCAATAGAGCCATCATCGGCAGAACAGACGGGCCGACACGATGGTTATCGTGTTTGGGCGTCTCTGACGGATGGCTCTGCCATTCTGTGACTGACAGTCCCCATCTGTCGTACCTACAGGCCGCGACCGTGATATCGTGGTGATTGCGGCTGTCCGCGGCACGGCCCCACCGAACGGCCTGTGGGAGTACATACAAAATAGTCGTTCTCAAGAATAAAATGCTTGTTCCTCTTGTATCTTCCTTGTTGTAGGCACATACGTTCGGTATTATAAAATCGCATTTAGTAACTACAACTAGATGCCGGCAGCGCTCTTGCGTTGCCTTGGGCCAGAATTGGAGGAACGGTACGTACTGAGGGCACACACCGGACCAAAACCTTGACCAAACCACCGAAACTTGACCGAAACCCAGACTGAGCTTGAAATGAACCTGAAAAATGTATTAGGTATTCTTATGACCTGCAAGTTGAGAACCAGTTAGAGCTGCCGTTTACCCTGCAGGCGAGGCAACGTATAGTGCAATCGGCTTGCACGTGCATAGCTCATGCACCACAGAGTTAAGCTCAACCAAATGTGCACTTTTTTGGAGGCCTTGCTTGGGACTACCATTGAACCGATTTTGGAATTGATAGCTCAAAATTTCTTTGAGCCAGAGGACCTCACGTCAAAACGGTTTTTCGCCACCAGCACGTGCAGCCTGCACCCCTCGTAGATGGTGACCTCCTGGAAACTGGTTCGAGGTGTTACCTATGTGTCCCACCAGTGTGACTTTGTCGGGTTGACCTGTAGCCTTGACAAAAAATTTCGTTTCACCGAAACTTTGAAGCGGAATGGAATAGCATGTGCCACGAAGCACTGAGCGAGCCGAGGCCAGCACCAAAAGTTTACCTCGCCGGAGACGAGTCGAACTCGTCTCCGGCGAGGTAAACTTTCGTCTAGGTCGATCCATCCATTTTGACTGCAGGTCCAAAAAAGCTTGGACAAACTCACATACTCACATACTCACTCACATACTGACAAACAGGCTCAGCCGAACATGTTTTTTAGCGACCCACCAATGGGAATTTCCGGATGCAAAAGCATGCTATAATTCGCATGCTTTTGATCCTCCAATTCTGGATAAGCCATATAAACTTTAGGAATACAATTAGATAAGTAAAAGAAATTGACCTTTCCCTCGACATTAAAAATGCAAAAAAAGCCGAATGATGTATTAAAAAAAAAAACGGTGAGCTTTCGGCCACCACTGGCCTTTATCAAACCGAAAGGCCAGTGGCCGAAAGCTAACCGCTTTTTTAAAATATATTATTCGGCTTTTTGCATTTTTAATGTCGAGGAAAAGGTCAATTTCTTTTACTCATCTAATTGTATTCAATATGTTCCTTGCTCGAGTACTTCACAATATAAACTTTAGGAAAATGAAATGCGTGTCTTATCTTGACATCTACCAGCTGTATTCGCTAGAGCCAAGTTACATTGATTAGCAAATAACAAAGGGTGGCTGGTAGCAGTTGCAAAGTTCAAACAAGGCCATTATGGAAGCCAAGCATCCATGTGTGATCCTCGTTCTTTTGCATTCAACATGGGATATACATCAGACACGATGCAGCATTACAGAATGTGGCTACCTCAGACCTAAGTGCGTTATAAATAGCAGGCTCCTCACCTGAGTGCCACCTTATTACAACAGGAATGCCAAGTGCGGCAAATCTAAAGGGTAAAAAGGTCGTTTCGGAGGGGGGGGGGGTCATTGTTTTGCCAACAGTTGCTTCAATGCAGGCCTGACAGTTGCATGACCGCAATGCAGGAATATTTATATACGAGTGACGGATGTAAACACCATTTAAGCATCCTCGTGAGACTGCACTGCGCTGACCGGTCAGCACGCGACAGTGGGGTGGCCACTGGGCAGCCTGCTGGTTTCGGAGAACATTGGCATGGACGACAACGAATATCAGTCTGCCTCCACCCACGAAATAAACAACGCTTGCTTGGTTCCAATGCGACGAAAGATATTTTATGCAACGATAATTACATAAAAAATTATCCAGAGTCAAAATGTAGGTAGGTACATTGTTCATAACATGTAAATTTAGGTAGCTACTAGGTACACATTAGGATGAATGCGTATCGTAAAATTATTATAAACTGCAATGGTTGGGGGGCATATTGCCCCCCCCCCCCCAGATCTCGAGAACTACGCAACATAGCGACAAGTAGCAAACGGTGTTTGATAGCCCAACGGGGAACTACCTTGTGACCTTATTTTATTGACCTCTGACGCTCGGTCAAATCGATGACGTCACAGGTCAGGTCAAATGTCGAATTTTCACCGTTTACTGGCCTTTCAAGAAATGTGTTGTTAAATCGAGTAAAATGCATGTTATTGAGAATTAACGATGGGGAATTGTTCGTCAAACATATTTTGTTATTTGAGGTCACTGATACCAGGTCAGGTCACGGTTAGGTCACTGAGGGTCACAATATGAAAATATCATTGATGCATGTTTCATGGTCCATTTTACATGACAAATGCGACCATGTGGGTCAGGCAACCTTTGGGGTCAGTTAAGGTCATGTTCTGGACGGTGAAGGTCGGGTTAAGGTCAGGTCAGATTAGGTCAAATTTAAAATTTGATGTTTTTGCATAAAATGGGTATCGATTCGATGCAGCTTGTCACGGGGAGTCTAATAGTGGTCTTTGGTTTGCGCTACGTGGTCTAGAATTCGAAAGAAGAGCTTTGGGATTGTTTTCTTTTCTATTTTGTTAACTGTAGCTTGTGTGAGCGTTTCAAGATTTCATGTTTTTTGCTCATTTTTGCTCGAACCTCAGTTTGACCTCAATGACTCCTGACCTAAGGTCAGCTAAGACTTGAAATTTCGTGTGAAGGTGTCAAATTGATACCCGGGAAGGTATTGAAAAGTTGGCGGCGCTGCGCGCAGCCATTTTCCAGCTATTCAGGAAAAGCACAGGAGGGGGCCGTATGCCCCCCCCTCCCCAACTGCAACGGGGCGAGGGTTAAGCGTGTTTTTTTTGTGCGGTGTTGGACCACAGCATTTAACTGTGAATCTGGTCCTGTGATGCGGCACAGTCTACCACTCCAGGCAACTGATTGTCAGTGCCTGTGAAAAGTGGTAGATGATTCTGTAGTCAATTGTACATAGCCACCGGGACAAAGGACGCAAGTTCTAAGCAACGCAACATATGTACATAGATAATTATGTGGAAGCTGCAGGTCTATGCAAAGCTTACGCTCCGGCTCCCTAACCAAGCGAATGTCCCAGGTGTTGTCCCCCGTACCTAACTGCTGGCTGATTGATGCTGCAATTGCCACTAACGTACCCTCTCCTGGGCCTCGTTTCATAAAGCTCTGCCGTAACTTACACCTTTCCGTAATTCACACCCTTTCAAACTACGGAGCGCAAATGAAGCCGTTTCACAAAGCCACGACTGGAATTGTTTACACCTCCGTAACTAAGAACATTTGCGTAGTTACCGTAATTTATCAAGCGTCCTACAAATTACAATTTCATGTCAACACTTATTTTTTTACGAGAAATTATAAAACAAATATGTTGAATTTAAATCTTAAAAATAATTTATGAAAAAAACAAAATTGATATTGATGACCATCTTTTATTAAAACCATATATTAAAAACAGCAGAAAGCCAGCCAAGCAGAAGTGCCTAACTACGAAAGTGGCGCGGCGCGGCGAATAAACAAAATTCCGATAGTGGCCACAAAAAGCGACTGGTACAGAAGATTTGCAGTTTCTTTTTCTCATTTTGGCTGTTCTTTCTTCCTCACCGGGCTCAACATTATAAAATATATTAAAAATTAGCTTCGAATCTTCACATTAATTCAAAATCACGCAACATTTTTGTGCGTAGTTTACACCACTGATATCAAGAGCTTGATAAAATATTTGGCGTTAATTACGTCGTTTTATGAAACCCAAATGGCATCAATTGGTCCGGAATCGAGCATTTGCCGTAAATGAAGTTCCGTACTTTCGATGGCGTGAATTACTCCGGTCTCCGGCTTTATGAAACCGAATTGGCATCAAATACGCCAAATCTGGCATAATTGACGGAACGCCGTAAGTAATTCCTTTTATGAAACGAGGCCCTGGCTGCACTTTGAGCAGAGGTACCTAATTTGGCAATTTATGTGGCGTCCGGTTTATAGGACTAATTGCGCTGGAATTGGTTCTGCTGCGACCTGCAATCATTCCATGATGACCGATGACGTGCACCTGTTATTACAGCATGAGTTATAGGGTTGAACTCTCGATGCCTGGGTACCTATATTTCATGTTTTCGATGTGCCGCATCCGGAATGACCTCAGTCCTCAATATTGTAATTATCAAGCTGTAAAGATGAGTTTGTATGAATGAGCTCGGATGTGCCGCATCCGAAATGACCTCAGTCCTCAACATTGTAATTATCAAGCTGTAAAGATGAGCTGGTATAGTAGCGGATGGCTGTCTTCACCCTTTTGTAGTACAATTTTTCAACTTCACGATTACAGGATAATGATCAGTTTAATTTTGTGTAAGAACTAAGAAGAGTGATAACCTCACAGCCGGCAAAAAAAAACACGATGAGAACACGCCATACCTATAGGTCAAGTCGTCAAATGTCAACTCTCGTCCCTTGTCACCCGAACACCTTGGAGAAATGCCAACTTTAACGTAAAGGCTGCAGTGACTTCCTTCTTCCATAGCTACCTACATCTGAGCTCAATGTCAAGCGTAATGGGTTGTCGCGTAGTGTCACCAATTGCAATGTTACAGGTTCCAAAATCCGGACTGTATTTGGAGGATGTGTGTCCTCCGTCATCTTGTCCTGATGTTATCTGTCTCCCGGACATCAGCACAAAAAGGTGAGCTGATTGAATATTGAACAGACTGACACCCATGGCCAACTTACCCTCTGAAATCCTTCAAATAAATTCGCGTCAAAAGCTGTTAACTTTGAATCGTCTCCACATACTCAATACTCACCCATTGATTCATCAGCCAGATGCCAATGTGCATTGCGGACCAAGGCACCAAATCTGTTTACGAGTTGCTATGGTACTCGGGGCTATGTGGCTAGTCGGTATCCAGCAACCGACACAGCAGAGGCAGGCTATTTCTTGGTTATTTCGGCCGCAGAACCTTGTGAGGTCACGTGTTGAAAACCATGGAACCCTCATGAGACTCGGAAGTGCTAACATACATCCTTGAGGGCTGAGAGTTGTGACTTCCCTGACCAGTATGCGGTAGTCAACAGTGATCTTTTTGCGACACGATATCGGGCCGCGGGACAGATCCCTCGAATCAGCATTTAGTAATTCGCCTGCTTGGAATGGCTTAGATACAGAGGGAGTGGAGTGTGGATAATTATTACCTATACCTCAAACGGGATCGTTTCATATAGCGAACTTTCAATATAACATTATTCATGACAAACAGACACTTTAAGCGTTTTACTACATTCCCAAGCATACAAGTGCTTTTAACATGATTGGAGCAGGAAGCTACGAATCTTGTGATTTCAGGGTTGACAACTGAGGTTTACCCGGTACTATGGCTGAGTATTACCGGGGTTACATGAGCGATCCGTTCCAAATACGCACTACGCTAATGCGCATCAGCTCCCCACAAACGTATCTACGGCACCGGTTACATGAGACTAATTCGTTTTATCTACGTCAAACGGATCTTGTTTGGCTCACCCGCGCTGATTCCTCGACGGCCGGTAATTCGCATCACAAACGGAATAGGATTAGCGTACAGTCATGGCGCAGTTGCGGCATTTACCGGGACGACTGAGCTAAATTTTAAATACTTATATCATTTGATAGGCTCAAAAACATTTAAAATTAACATGAAATCAAAAAATGAAAACAAAGTTTTATTGTTTTAAGTCAGTGGGCACTGATTCGCCATGCAGCGACAGCAGGGTGGTCAGAAAAAATTATCTATTAAAATATTTCATTGGTTTTATTTCATATGCAAAGACTAAACCAAAATACCAACATTTTTTTTTTGCTATTTTCTACGAGGCAACCAATAAAAAAATGCTTAGTATTTTGCATTTTGACGCTTTCAGTCAGCAAAGAATAGTTCTTGTGAAATACGGCCCGAATCGTGTGCCTCGGACGTTTCGGTTACATGAGCGATCCGTTCCAAATACGCACTACGCTAATTCGCATCAGCTCCCCAAGAACGCATTCAGTGCACCGACTACATGAGCAAATTCGTATCAGTGACGTCAAACGGATCTAGTTTGGCTCTCGGCCCGATGCGCATTACAAACGGAATAGCATACAAATGTGGCGCACTTCCGTAGCAATAGAGGTGACTAAATTAAAAATTTATTATCTTATGTCTTTTTTGCATTTAATCTGCTCAAAACATTCTCAATTAACCTAACAAAAAAAAGTTGAACATAAAGTTGTCTTGCTTTGACTCATTGGGCAATTGCCTCTCTTGATTCGTCTGTAGTGCTGTCAGAAAAATGTTTCAACTGAAATTATGTGGATATTTACTATTTGGTTTTCACTATATTTATTGTTGAAAACTTGACAAAATACCGACATATTTTTTTAAATATTATTTCAAAAGAAGAAAATGAAAAAAATACCTATTATTTTGCATTTTAATGTTTCTTTTTGCGAAGAAATAGTTCCTGTAATACGTATCTTGGTCCTATTCGCTTCTAAGCCTCTTTCCCAGCGGATTTTGTTCGGACCGCCGATTCGTATTAGCAGGTGGATACATGAGTCGGTAGTGCGCTCCTGATTCGCATTAGCGGTGAATCCGATCGTGATACGTATTTGCTTTGCTCATGTAACCGCGGATCGGATCGCCGATTCGTACTAGCAGGTGGCTACATGAGTCGGTAATGCGTTCCTAATTCGAATTAGCGGCTAAATACGTATTTACTGTGCTCATGTAACCCCGATAAATGTATGCTTATATTTGACCGCATTCCCACCAAGTTCATTATCGCTTAAAGTGCAGCCAGGCCTCATGCGTGGTTAAATTTATCTATCGTGTCGCTTGGGCTTGGAACGGTGCATTGCACCACAAAATGTGTTCCATCACCCGGCTCACATACCTACTTCTCGGAAATCGTTAGGCCTCCGGCGAACGTCGCCAAAATGAGTGGCGTATAGGTAGACGGATAAGTAGAAAACCATGTAAATGGACGGAATTCATCGTCCAAGATAGTTACCTTGCTCCGTTGCCAAATTACGCTTGTTTAGGGTTATCATGTTGTCACATTAGTTCGTCAAGCTGATGATTGCGCGCATAAAACGTTCAATAACAACATTTCCGTGCAACTTATGTAAGCTCATCATATCCTTAAGCTGTGGATTGACGAGTCGAATAACTCACGAATTGGAACGAAAACAAACTCACGAATTGCCTTTTCTCTCCAGTTTTATTTGGCCTGTAGGATATGTTTACATAGGTATTATTCAGTAAAAATTCAGCTCTTTGAAGTTTTATATTGTTTTTATCCGTCAACATTTGTTTAATGTTCCGATTTTTTCGCCACAAAAGAACAGTGTCTTTTATGGTTGGGTTGGGTCGTGCTATAATCGCTTATCCTCCGTCGTTCGTGACCATTAGCTATTGTGAATTCTTTGAGCGGCCGTGGTGCGGTGGTAACCGCTGATTACCAGTCAGTCTTGAGGCCGTCTGCCGTCGCTCGAACGGGTGAAGGGTGTGAACGAATGGTGCCCGACGGGCTCGGACGGCGTCTCCGTGCCCGAAGTCCGGCCGACGCGACGTGAACGTCGCCGAGCCGCGGCCCCGGCCCTGGCCGCCGTCAGCCGGGGCCGCCCGGCCGCCAGTGTCCGCCCGAGCGCACCGACTGAATGGCACGCCAATTTCAGCACCGGTCAATGCCGCCAACATTTGTCGCTCCCCTATCGCCTGGTGGGAGTTTCATTGCAGTGCCATCCATTATGCTGCAGTCTGTCGCCGGTTTAAAGGAAAAGGGCCACCTTCGTGAAATATGAAGATATCGTTGTTTTTCATTTTGACATTATTATTTTTCATTTTCTTTTTAAAACTGGTGCCAGAAGTGCACAATTCGCGAAAAAGTATTTAAAACTATTTAACATATTGGTACTATGTTGATACTCTCTACGGCACCTACTGTATGATGGCATAGCGATGACGTCACACTCAAGCCAATCAGCGTTCAGAAGACAGACTCGTCGGATTGTGTCAGATAAGCTGATTGGTTTAAGCTGAGCTGGTTGGAGCTGATTGGTAAAAAACCAAAGCCTCGCCGCGGGTGGCTGTATTGCCGGATAAGAACGCATTCCTGGGATAAGGACGCATTCCTGGCGTATTTTCTTTTAAAATTACCGATAACTACGAATGGAGGCCGAAATCGGCCGTAAGGAGGAAGACAGATAGGTTTTCGGACACGGGCTACAAGATGGCTATCTCAGTTTCAATCCCCATGTTAAAGGTGGCCCTTTTCCTTTAATGGGAATCGGATGGCTGGCGCTCGGACAGCGGAACGCGATACCTAATGGCCTGATGGGTCAGCTCGGGCGCCGTCAAAGCTGATCGGATTGATTTTAACCGTCACAGGAACTATCGGTTTTCTACATCGGTTCGGTTCCTTTGTCATAAATGTATACGCAGCTTTAGACTACCATACCTACGTCTTGGCATTGCATTATCCTCCGATGTACATATGCCATCAATCATAGTTATTGAATACTTCTCTTTTTGCGTCGTCATATAACAAGTTGACCCATTGAATAATGCAACAACTAATGTCAAAAAGTCAAAGAATTAAAACACTTCAACTCAATAAGTGCCCTATTAGTATCGCATGGTCCTGCTTGGCGGGCTTCCTGTGATGTTTCTTCAAACTGGGGTGCGCACTGTTCACACGTTTGTTTTTATCAGCGTTGATACCTATATCTGAGTGGTTAACGCATTAACCTGTATCACTTGCAGATTTGGGAATTTTCTTCGTGGAAGAGCCTCAGTCCGCGCTGGTATCGCCCGGTGAAGAGGTGGTACTCAGCTGCGCGATAAATCTGCCTGTCGACCAGCTAAGGTCTGCTGAATTAGTGACCTGCGCGCCGGAAAGTAAATCGTCCATAGACAGGCTAACACATCAGCGCTTGTAGAAAGAGTTCTAACAAAAATTGCGTTTGCTACTATAGGTAGGTACTGAGAGTGCTGAGCAGTGAGCAGAACCTGTTTGTCAGTGCTGTTGCCTGACAGTGCCGCTGTATTAGTCAGCTCAGCTTTGTCAGTTCAACTGTAGTGAATGCCGCTGCATGGCATTTCCAATTCGTTAGTGCCGCCATACATGTCGGTTATTGGCTCCTCAGATGGCTGCACAACTGGCGACCTCTACCCGCTGGTGACGGCGGCGCGGTGAAGGTCCAGCCCGGCCGGCTCCGGCTCCAGACCAAAGGGGAGCTGGGAGAGCACGGCCAACTCGACGGCGAGTACCGGGTCAGTTGTCGGAAACAGTGCGTAGTAGGGTGTGTCACTAGAAACAGATCAAGCGCTTCCGCTGATTTTCCTTGTCCCTGTGTCTATGGAAACCCATTGGTGCAGTTCTTTTTCCCGTGCATCGAAAATTCGGTCGGCGCCGGCTGAAAGAAGTTCGGGATTTATCGTGGCGCCCGGCGTTGCAGTCTCCATGTTTGGCGTAATGCGTTTGATGACACTAACACCAGCCGTGCGCGTCTTCGCCTGTTAGCGTCGACAGACGCTGTCAATACGGATGTAAGCAATGCAAACGAGGCAGTATCCTCTATTTAGACAACGGTTACACAGAAAAGATGCATCTTTGCCATTCAATAGCAAACTGAATTCAACTCAATTAGCATTTGCATACCTTGCATGGTTCAGGGGACCGATTTTCTTGCAGGCCTCCTTTGCAGAGATGTTGCCCGTCCGCACGGCTCTGGTGAGCTGATACAGCAGGAGCTTGTCGCTGCTGAGGTCGGCGATGATGTTGTCCGGCAGATCCAGCTCTGGGCCGCTCACCGGTCGGAACTTCACGGGAGAAAGACGGTGCACGGAGCCGCCGGCTGCCTTGCCCAACGGCCCCGTGAATGATCCGGGTCCACTGGTTTTGCCGTCCAAGTTCTGGAACACTTCCCTGAGTACAAGCTCATTCGAGTGCAGCTGGCAAACAAACCAATGGACCGTATGCCTTGAGCTCAGCGTCGCTGTGTTGTTGGTCCCGCGCGGCCACGGTACTTTGTCTCATCCGGCATCTTTCTCTCCATACTTTTTCGGGTCGATCAGCAATTCTGTTTTGCCGCTCGCTACGCGACCGACATCCATCTGAAAACCATTGATGACGGCCGCTACAGCACGGTTGGATAAAGCATACCTGTCAATCAGCTGCCAGTGCAGTGTTTGTCATATCATCATCGTTTGAGTCTTTGATGCATTTCTTCATCTCAAATTCACTTGTGACGTCTTCATTACTGTCGTTGGTGTCGGTCGTTGCCGACGAGTCTACCTGGCCTGTTTCGTCGATATTGACGCCGTTGGAATAGGTACGGAGGTGGGAAGGACGAGCTTGACCCACGTCGCCCCTCCCCTCGTTCCGCTCCCGTCTCATTCTAAGGCTCGCAGTCTTACGTCGTTTCCTCGTCTCCTCGTAGTCCACACCACCCAGTCGCATCTTCCAAACTCCTCTCTGGTCTCGAAGGAATGCTATTTCCGCTGAAGGTACCCGGTTTGAAAGTGGACAGGTACAGCTTCGCCGATCTTTACAGCGGCAGCGGGCGATGTCAAAAAGCTTACGAAACAGACTCGCTTCAGAAACACTTTGTTTCGTTTGTCCCTCCCAGTTCCCACATTCTTTCGGACACCTTGTTCGATTGGCGAAATCTTTCGTAGACTTGCTTTACCTTCCGAGCCACATTGTGCATTTGTATCGTTGGTATGCCCTCACTCGACCACATTGCAGCCACCGCTTCCGCTGCTTCACGTAAACATGCAGTGACTGTCCGCTCACTTTTTCTATCCTCTGCCAAGAGTCTCACATAGTTCACTACAAGTACATCTCTGTTGGTAGGCAGCTGATTTACCCGCAGCACACTGGGAGACCCGATAACAAAATGTTTCGCCTTGCTTCACCACGGCATCACCGCGGCACGTATAGTCCGATTCGATTGCACCACACGCACTTCTGCTCACGCCGCAGCTGAAACCAGACTCACCCACGTTCTTTGCAAGCTCGTGTGTCTCGGGGAGACAGCACATGACTCGAAAGCCGACACATTGTGTTGCCGACGGAGGGGTGATACCCGAGACCCCGCTCACGTTGCCCTCTGTCCATCCGTGCTCTCAATCTCCCTGCCCCACTCGTGATAGTCTTGCCAAGGCTGCAACGTGATCCTATTACGTACAGTGGCGGCGGAACACCTTCAATTAAGGGGGGGGGGGGCACTGCCGACTTTTGGTCCCATTCTTTCCATGCAACGCCCATAGGGCTAATGTTAAAATACCAAAATCAGAGGGGGACGGTGCCCCAGTGCCCTCCCCGTTCCGCCGCCTATATCCTATTATATTGATCATCTGTGGGTCCTGAATGGCCTCAACACATTAAGATAACAGTATGTTTCGTCCGACGTCCATTTAAACAAGAAATAGCAATCGAATTTTAACCGTCAAACGGTGTTGGCCGCTACAGGCCGACGGCGAGTCATATGGCTGGTGTTAGCGCTACGGTACGCATTGTGTTCAGTATGGAGACTTCAACGCCGGGCGCCACGGGAAATGTCGAAATTGAATGGGCTCGCGCCGCCTGAATTTTCGGTGCAGCGAAAAAAGAACAGTGCCAATGGGCTTCAATGAACCCAGGGACAAGGAATATCCGCGGAAGCACTTGATCTGAGACAAAAATATTTGATATGACACACCCTAGTGCGTAGTATGTACGGTACCGGTGCAGCCAAGCTTCCGACCTTACCTTTTTCTTCTCATCGGACTTCAGAGCACATACGTCCTTGGCAGAGAAACGGCTGTGTTCAGGGACACGTGTTTCCTCTGATATCTGCAGTGAAAAGAAAAAGGTAAAATGCAAGCTTGCCGAGTTTTCCAACAAAATTCCATTGCAATTGCCACTGCGAAGACGTTATTTTTAACTATGCATGGTTTACTGTTATGCGCTGTAGCGATGCAATTTCACCCATTTTACACGATGGCAGAGCTGCTTCTATTTGGCTAATTAAGCCGGCTGCGTCGTGTATACGAGTATGACGCACGATATAGCGGCATTATCAATTTGTTTGATCGTGTCATGTACCTATCTATGTAAACTGTAAAGTAATGATCATCGATCAGACCTCCCCTGCCGCACTCTCCCAATCTGTCTCCATTCTCCGCCATCGGCAGTGTATGGCGTGGATGGCCCCGATCGGGCTGGCCTCTCTGCCGGCGGTGGTCACTGTGGCGCACCTGGGACAGTTCGTGGCGCGGCCAAACGCCACGGTCACAGCGCCGACCGGCGGCACTGTCCTCCTGAGGTGTCCGCCGCCAGAGAGCGCTCCGCCCGCAGAGATTCGGTTCTACAGGGACGGAGAGGCGCTCATCAGCGATGGAGGTAACGTTAACTAAATAGCGCCATTGAACGCTTTAAAACCCTCGCCGGCCGAGGGGGGGGGGCGGGTGCCGCCCCCATAGGGTTTTTTTCGCGATAGCTCCGAACACGCTGGCGATAGAGAGCTGAAACTTGGCATACCTGACCTTTGATTCAAGCCAGATCTTTTGACACCAACCGCATTTTCGGGTCAGGTCAGGTCATTGACCTATGACGTCATAAGTGAACCTGTGCACGGTCTTCAGATGTCGCAACTTCGCAACGCCCTCACTGCCAGAGGAGATGTAACAGGGAAATGAAACTTGCAGGATCTAGTATCCATTATGAGTCTCACAACTTGTATATCTCGGATTTTTCCTAAAGGTCATATGAGGTCAGGTCATTTTCGTGACTTCACCATTATAAGTCAATGAGGAAAAATGAAAACTGCTATTCTGGCGCCGTGAACGATCTCCAACTATCTCAAGCACACAGAATCGTGATTTGATGCACTCCTTGCAAGGTTAGATGCGTCATTTTTGCAATGTTGACCTTACGTGACGTCATTTATGACGTCATCAAGGTCATATTAGTTTTTCGTCAATAACTCTTGATTAAATTGAGCTAGCGACTCGGGAAAGCCACCAATGGATTCAGAAAGACCTGCCGAATTGAATGGTATGCGACATGATCTCTTTCGACCAACTTCGTGACCTGGGGGTGCTGACCTGACCTTGACCTGAGTTCAACACCCCAAGTTGACCTGACCCGGACAAAAAGTATATCATTCGACGCGCCTGAGCGAGGCGAACACGATGCTGCCAAAATCGCGGCTCTGCGGCCGTTTTTTGCGAAGTTATTCACCAAAAACTGAACCGTACCTTGGAGCACTTGACCTGACCTCAGAGGTCACCGGTTGACCTAGGACCTTAAAATCGGATACCAATCTCTGCGTCTCGTACCGGTGCACACGCTCGTTTTTTCCGCGACGCGCTAGCTCCACCAGGGGCGAAACGGCAAGGGGGGTCGTACCCCCCCCCCCCCCTCGGCCGGCGCGTATGTAGAAAACCAATAGGTCCGGCGAGGGTTAAAGGGTTATGTCACAAGTTATATCAGGGTTATGTCATCGATACTTTATAATTATGGCTTACTACAATCACTTTTGATTATATTCTTCGCTGTAAAGATGCCTGTGGTTTGTCGCTGGGTTCATTTATCAATGATCAATGTCCATAACTACATGTTTAGGCATCGATGGAGCTCTCGTTTCGTTCGATTGAGCCTGCCTTCATGACTCATCACTCCTTTCGAGTTTCGACCCGCCTGTGACCGGGACCTCATTTCGCCGAGTCCCTTTAGTGACTCGGCCTCTTTTCTACTCTCTCACTGCGACAGACAGTCACCAGTTGCTCTCTGGAGGTCGCCTGTTCATCTCAAACGTGAGCAGTTCGCAGGCAGGGACGTACTCCTGTGTAGCTTCTAATTCACGTGTTAGACAGAAGACGTCAGCGCCATTCGTCACCCGACTTGTCGTCAGCAGCGGCGAGCAATGGCCAAAGAAACCACCGCGTATTGTGGTTTCTCCGGAGCCGGTGAATTGGGCGGCAGAGGGAGACACCGTCAGGTTAGAATTAAATAGAAAACTGCGCACTTAGTGGATGTTCATGCCGTTGAGTCATATTTAATCACTTCCTTTCCTTAGGTTTGAAAAAACTGGCCTAACACTATTTGTCTGCGTTGTGCGTCGCCCGATGCGTTGCGGCACAGCATACCTTCAGGCGCTAACTGTTACTGCCATCTAGCGGAAAAATACAAACTACGTGACGCTTGGTAAGTGGGCGCTGGGCTTGTCCAAATCCTTGCCGATCGTGGCTGATGATTGATGTGTGCTCAGTGCTGGGTTTCATGGTGGGGACATTGGTCAATGATCAGGCCTGTAAGTATTTAGTTTATTACGTTTGACACTTGCTGGAGTAACTATACACTTACCGATCCGTTCCACATTCCATCCGTTATATGTTCCACGCCCGACTAACCTGTCCCGTCGTCCCGTCCCGGCCAGGCTGGAGTGCGCAGCGGACGGGTGGCCGGTCCCGACGGTCGCCTGGCACCGGTCCACGCTCGGCGCTCGGTGGTCCGAACGCTTCTCCCAGGGCGCGGCCGCTCTGACGATACGACAGCTGAAGGTAGAGGACGAGGGCACCTTCATTTGCGAGGTGGTCAGCGAGGCAGGTGTCGTCACCCGCCGCCACAGAGGTCAGGGTCTCCGGTGAGTGACAGAATTGGAGGAAAAACAGCGGCAATGGTGACGATGACAAGGCAGCAGTGCTGCTCAATGTAGCGGAAGACGTAAAAATTATAAATTATTTACTTCCCAAACACAACACGCAATCTATAAACATCGAATCATAGACCTCAGTATACCAAGTATGTATGCAGAGGTCTATAATCGAGTAGAGCGAATATCGCGATCCGTAGCTATCTCTTTAGTACCGTAACTGTTTTGTGCCCTCCTTCAAGGCTTTGACTTGCATGAACCCGGCATGCGCTTTGCTCCTGTCATTTACAGCACCTGTGTCTGTGTGGACGTCTCCCACGGACCTGTCGGTGCCCGAGGGCGCCGCAGTCGAGCTGCTCTGCTCCGGTCGCGGCTGGCCGCCCCCAGAGCTGACCTGGGTCTTCAACGGCAGACCCGTGCCTTCTACCGAGCCAGACCCAGAGACGGATACCGCTCGGGAGCCGGAGTCAGCACAACAGCGGGAAACTGGGGCAGTGTCGGGGCGGAAACTGGAGACTGGTGCAGACGTTGTGCCTGAGGACGGGCAGGGAGCGCTGGCGGTGGCAGAGGGACAGGCCGCCGGCGCCGGGAGCGGGCGGAATCACGTGCGGAGACGTGCTCTGAAGTTCCGCGCGGTCCGCCGGCAGGACGCCGGCCTGTATCAGTGTTTCGGACACGGCGCCAATGGTGACGACAAGGCAGCAGTGCTGCTCAAGGTAGGCGATACACTTAGGCAGTCGTGGGGTTAATTTATATTTGAGTGTATTAATTACAGAATAAGCCGGAAGAAGCTCACTAACAGGGAACTAGGAAAAAGGTTTATTGTTTGTGTCGCTGATGTTAACATGTTTTCAAAGTTTTACCTGATTTTAGAAGCATCTGATAGAATTACGTTGGTTGTTGAGTTTATTTTATGTCGATGTTATTATTTTACGTTTCCCTCCAAAAGTACCGTAGAATTAGCATTATCCATAAATAAGTCCTTAACAATTGAGTGGATTTAGTACATATATGCCTTCCATTTCTTACAAATACATGTGTGAAAACCCATTGTATAATGTATGAGCCATCGCGACATCGTAACAGGTACATCGCGACAGGTAATTCCGCAAAGGACGGTGTCGGAGGAGCGTCCGTCTGCGTCACTGGAGTCATTCAAGGACCGGCACGACACCAGTGACCGGCGGCCGACAGGTCAGGGATAAACGTTATGGATCAGTTGTTTCACTTCCTTTCATTCCTTTTCATGTATTTAGCAGCGCTCACTAAACAGCGGCTTAAACGTCTTGTAATTTTTATCAGAACTGGATCTGCGCAAGACGTCCTAAAATACTCCGATGATTAGCAAAGACATAAGGTTAACCTTATACGATGCTGCCTGGCAGACATTGACAGTTTCTTGATGAGTTTTGTTTTTGTAACGGTCGACTAGAATTCGCTTTCTATCCCCACCAAACCCGATCCTTCTCAACCATTTCGGCTTTTCCTACCCGTCTTAGTTCGGCCATAACGTAAAAAATAAGTTATTTATGACACTATCTTATCTATCCAGGCATCCCATCTTTACCCCTGACGAATTTTCCCGCTTCCTCTAACCCGCCGTCTACCCTCTGCCGCCCGCAGTCCTGATGGTACCGCCCGGCGCCCCGGCCGACTACCTAACCTTCCGTCTACCGTCTGCCGCCCGCAGTCCTCCTGGTACCGCCCAGCGCCCCGGCCGTCTACCTAACCCGCCGACTACCCTCTGCCGCCCGCAGTCCTCCTGGTACCGCCCAGCGCCCCGGCCGACTACCTAACCCGCCGACTACCCTCTGCCGCCCGCAGTCCTCCTGGTACCGCCCAGCGCCCCGGCCGACTACCTAACCCGCCGACTACCCTCTGCCGCCTGCAGTCCTCCTGGTACCGCCCAGCGCCCCGGCCGACTACCTAACCCGCCGACTACCCTCTGCCGCCCCCAGTCCTCCTGGTACCGCCCGGCGCCCCGGCCGTTTACCTAACCCGCCGACTACCCTCTGCCGCCTGCAGTCCTCCTGGTACCGCCCGGCGCCCCGGCCGACTACCTAACCCTCCGTCTACCCTCTGCCGCCCGCAGTCCTCCTGGTACCGCCCGGCGCCCCGGCCGTTTACCTAACCCGGCGTCTACCCTCTGCCGCCTGCAGTCCTCCTGGTACCGCCCGGCGCCCCGGCCGACTACCTAACCCTCCGTCGAATCTCTGCCGCCCCCAGTCCTCCTGGTAAGTACCGCCCGGCGCCCCGGCCGTCTACCTAACCCGCCGTCTACCCTCTGCCGCCCCCAGTCCTCCTGGTGCCGCCCGGCGCCCCGGCCGTCTACCTAACCCTCCGTCTACCGTCTGTCTCCCCCAGTCCTCCTGGTAAGTACCGCCCGGCGCCCCGGCCGTCTACCTAACCCTCCGTCTACCGTCTGTCGCCCGCAGTCCTCCTGGTGCCGCCCGGCGCCCCGGCCGTCTACCTAACCCTCCGTCTACCGTCTGTCTCCCCCAGTCCTCCTGGTAAGTACCGCCCGGCGCCCCGGCCGTTTACCTAACCTGCCGTCTACCCTCTGCCGCCCCCAGTCCTCCTGGTACCGCCCGGCGCCCCGGCCGTCTACCTAACCCTCCGCCGAACCTCTGTCTCCCCCAGTCCTCCTGGTAAGTACCGCCCGGCGCCCCGGCCGTCTACCTAACCCTCCGTCTACCCTCTGCCGCCCGCAGTCCTCCTGGTACCGCCCGGCGCCCCGGCCGTCTACCTAACCCTCCGTCTACCCTCTATCTTCCGCAGTCCTCCTGGTACCGCCCAGCGCCCCGGCCGACTACCTAACCCTCCGTCTACCCTGTGCCGCCCCCAGTCCTCCTGGTACCGCCCGGCGCCCCGGCCGTGTACCCCATCTCCGAGTCGGCAGTCATGCTGCAGTGGCAGGTACCGCCCAACGACGGGCTGGCCGTGCTCTTCTTCAAGATCCAGTACCGGCGCACGCCGCGCCGTAGGCACGGCTGGCACACCGTCGACTCGGACGTACCGGGAACGGCCAGGTCGTTCGAGGTCAGCGGACTCAAACTGGGCGGCAGGTACAAGTGAGTCCAGGGTCGACTGGAAGGGATTCGAGGATAATGGAATGCGTTGTCGTCGGTGAGGAGGGGAAGGGTCAGCAGAAATGACTTAACACGCGCAGTGGAAGGGTTGCCAGTACTACGCCCAGTGGAAGGGGGGGGGGCGGATGTCGCCCCCCCCCCTAAGATCTCAGCTCCCACTGGAGCTAGAAAGACGAAATTTGGAGGGTAGGTGGGGGTCATGGGGAACTCTGTTGTGTGTGAATTTCATGACCCTAGGTCAATATCTTCAAGGTCAAATGAGGTCAAATGTGGTCAAATCTGCCATATGAGCGACTTTTTTGCGTTTACACGCCGATAACTCAAAAAGTTACCGGCCGATTTTCTTTATTCTTTCACTATTCGAAAGACCAAACATTTGTGAGTATGTAATGTGAATTTATAGTTAATCCAACAATAAATATGGCAGTTAGAAGCCTGCTAAGGGTAAGATATCGCCGGCTGAAGCGGGATCGGCCGACGCGGGAAACGCGGCAATCACAATTTTGTGTTTACACACTCATAACTCAAGTTGTTACCGGCCGATTTTCAAAATTCTTTGACCATATGATTCCCTGTACATTTCTCAGTCTTCTCACTAAATTTGACGCGAATCTAATATAATCAGCGGTAAGGAGCGCGATGTAAAGACGGAACCGTCCCGCCCCGGCACAGTCTACAATTCAGGCGGCGCGTAACGGCTAGCGCCGGCCGCCGCGCCGCCGCGCCGCCGCGGCGGCAGGATGTTTGACTTTACATCGCTCTTACTAGAAAAGTTGTGAACCGATTTTCTTATTTCTTGCACGAGAAGATCCGCAATTCAATTTTGGGCAGGTAGCCAAAATTTCACATTAATATTTTGTTTGTGGCGCGAGTTATTGGCGAAAAACAGGAGGGGTGGGCGAAATCCGCCCCCCCCCCTTCCACTGCGCGTGTTAATAGGATGACGTTTTTTAAACATTGACTTGTTATCCATGATGTGACGCAAATTATTGATTCCGCGCGGTTCGCATTTGTATTAGTTCACCAGTGCTTGCAAGAGTCATATCTCTAGTTCATCTCTAGAAAATTAATACCCCGTCAAATTATTTATTTGTATAAATTCAGTGCTACGTTTTGATGAAATACTTGACGGCAATAAGCGTTACGGTTACCCACCTCCCAGGTTTCGCGTGTTGGCCGTGTACGAGAACAAGGACAACAAGCACGGGCCCAACTCTCGCACTGTGAGGATGGTTCGGCTGCTCGAGACGGCCCGTCCGCCGGGCTCGCCGACCGTCACCCAGCTGTGGCCTCTCAATATCACGGCCATCCGCTGCTCGTGGTCCTACCACGACGTGCGAGCGGCACCCGTGCAGGGCTACTTCATACACTACCGGGACGCGGCGACCGCCGGCGGCTACTCAAAGGTAGGTGTCGAGTTTTGCCAGTCTTGAGCCCAAACAAATGATCCCACGCGTATTTGCAAAAGTAATAAATAATGGATGCAATCATTCTGTTACTGAGGGGTAGTTTGCGGTGTACAGCTAAAACGCAAACCAGCGAGAACGATTAAAGACGAGTTTTCCCGTCCTGTGACTTTATCTTTGAACATGAACCATATCGCTATAAAACACCATTCGTAAAAAATTATGTTTTTCTATTTAAATTAGCCTGAGTTCTAGGATAATTTTGTATAACTGAAAGTTTGTATTTAGTGAACTGAAATTAGCAGCTATCTACGTGGAGGTCTTGAGCCAGACGTAGCTACACCCAACCCTGCCCGTATCGCTGATGGTTTCCACCTCCGTTGATTGTGACGCCAGGTGACCGTGCTCGGCGAGACGACCAAGACTCACGTCCTGACAGCTCTGCAGCCGGCCACCGTCTACGAGGTCAAGGTGCAGGCCTTCCACAGGGCCGGCGGCGTGTCCACCTTCTCGCCCATAGTCACCCAGTCCACGAGAGGTGAGCGATATTTCTGGGAACGGTGAAGGAGTGGATGTTTTAGTTACTTGGTAAGGGCAAAGTGCCATCCTGAGTCTATTCGGTGCTATTAACGTTAGGCTCATGTGTTCTGTTTTATTATCACATAGATAATGGGCGTATGTCCCATTTCATTAGAAGTGTCGCTCATGAAACTGCTGAGTTTATAATCCTTCTCTTTTTCGTCAAACTAGTTGCTTCAAGTTTAAGATCGGTAGCATATCTGCTATATCGACACTTTTTTTTAAACCCCACATCTGCTCTCCCGTGAATTTCGGGAGGCACGAAAGATCTCCTTTTAAAAGTGTCCAATCGTCCGATCCTGATCAAATATGTGTGTTCGTAGGCCTGTTCTGGTATTGCTTTATCTGCCAAGACAGACAAACTTGAGAAAAATCGAGTGATTGTACCTTTTTGAAGGTCTCTAAGCAACTTGTCTGAAATTCACCGGAGAACAAATGTGGGGTTTAAAAAAAGGTGTCGACATGTAAACACTAAACATTAAATTTCAGTTTGCTCACGTTCAAAGCACGACCCCACCGCCTGACTTCTGGTCACACACCTCTCTCCCTCCCCGCCAGCTCTTCCAGAAGCCTCCACGGACCGCTCTACCGTCTCCGGGGAGCACCCATCGGCGGGTGGTGGGCCGGGCGGTGTCCCCACCAGTCTGGAGACGGTGGTCGGGGGAGCGATCGGTGGACTGCTGGTACTGCTGGTGACTCTGGTCGTCGCCTGCCGGTGTCGCTCAGTCACCTCCGCAAAACGGAGAGGTGGGTCGGTACAACGGTGTACTGAGGGGTGAATATAGACGGAGAGAGAGAGTAAGCCAGTATCCATTTAATAGATTAACGAACAAAAATCCTTCTCACCTGCTATTTGAAAAGCGACCGGATCTGTCGTGAAATGACTGATCGCTTGCAATACAAAGGGACGCTTCTTTACCACCATGGGTGGCCTTCCGGAACCCACCGGATGACTACGATGTGCTTGTTTAGCGCCTTCTAGTCCCATAATATCGGTGACATATGTGCTGGCTGATGGCGCGTGAGAAGACGTGACTGAACTGAAGTCTGAAATGGGACTGATTAATGATATCTGCACTTACTGGCACGGCGTCCAAAGAGACGTCCCGTGTGGTCCCTAACGTGGCGAGAGGTGATTGATGTTTGGGAGAACAGAGAGAGAGAGAGAGAGAGAGAGAGAGAGAGAGAGAGAGAGAGAGAGAGAGAGAGGGAGAGAGAGAGAGTGAGTGATAGAGAGAGTGAGAGAGAGAGAGAGAGAGAGAGAGAGAGAGAGAGAGAGAGAGAGAGAGAGAGAGAGAGAGAGAGAGAGAGACAGAGAGAGACAGAGAGAGACAGAGAGAGACAGAGAGAGACAGAGAGAGACAGAGAGAGACAGAGAGAGACAGAGAGAGACAGAGAGAGAGAGAGAGAGAGGGAGAGAGAGAGAGAGAGAGAGAGAGAGAGAGAGAGAGAGAGAGAGAGAGAGAGAGAGAGAGAGAGACAGAGAGAGACAGAGAGAGACAGAGAGAGACAGAGAGAGACAGAGAGAGACAGAGAGAGACAGAGAGAGACAGAGAGAGACAGAGAGAGACAGAGAGAGACAGAGAGAGACAGAGAGAGACAGAGAGAGACAGAGAGAGACAGAGAGAGACAGAGAGAGAGAGAGAGAGAGAGAGAGAGAGAGAGAGAGAGAGAGAGAGAGAGAGAGAGAGAGAGAGAGAGAGAGAGAGAGAGAGAGAGAGAGAGAGAGGAGAGAGAGAGAGAGAGAGAGAGAGAGAGAGAGAGAGGAGAGAGAGAGAGAGAGAGAGAGAGAGAGAGAGAGAGAGAGAGAGAGAGAGAGAGAGAGAGAGAGAGAGAGAGAGAGAGAGAGAGAGAGAGAGAGAGAGAGAGAGAGAGAGAGAGAGAGAGAGAGAGAGAGAGAGAGAGAGAGAGAGAGAGAGAGAGAGAGAGAGAGAGAGAGAGAGAGAGAGAGACGGGTTAGGAGTTCGCCGAAAAGAAATTGGTGGTAGGTATTACGGGGCAGATATGAAATTGGTGGTAGGTATTACGGGGCAGATATGATTTGGGAAACTGAGAAGTTTTGGCGATGATTGCTGGTAAAAGTTGGATTGAAGGCGAAAGTGCAATTAATGGCAGATCAACTTTTGTGGCGTATCTCTGCCTGCGAGATATTTGCGAAGAAAAATTTTGCATGATCGTTTGAGATAACAGTGTCGATTTCACTTCGCTTGAACATTTATACAGGAATGTGCTTCGTGTAATTGCTTTGTGTAATAATGACTTATCCATTAGTAACATTCAACGGTGCTGATAATTATTATTTTTCTCACATACTTCAGCGGCGATGAAAGGCAGCGGTGACAGCCTACGGGAGGGCAGCGTGATCCAGTCGCTGAGGGTTTCAGCGGCGAGGCCTGAAAACGACCAGATGCTGGAGACCAATCCCTATACGCAGGTCAGAGTCTGTTTGCAGTTTACCAGATGTGATGCTTGGAGTTTGAGGTTTTATCATCGTTTTCTCGCTGGGTCGGGTTGTTGGAACGTCTACCTGCAACAGATTTCCGTTAGTTTCAATTAGGAGACAGGAGTAGCTAATATACTCTGTGCTGTTGCCTGTTTTCATCTTTTTTTTAGCAGTGTCCTGAGGTGTGACGTGCTATAGGAGTGCCCCTTCGTATCAAATGCGACATGCGGAACAGCCTACTTTTAGGCGTTCGTCAGTAGTGACATCCGGCGGCGAAAGTAAAAATTATTCAGTCCTGAACACCAAGCAACGCTCTAGCATGGTTTAGCGGTGATGCAGCGATTGACGATGTTTTGTCGGTAATTTCAGGAGATATCCGCCGAGACGAAACTCACTGAGGAGTCTCCAGACGCAGGAACATCGAACAGAGGACACAGCAGCACCTTACCAGCTGCGCCCCTCAACAATAACAAACGCCGTCCCGGGAGACGCCGGCGGCACAGTCCTCCGTCCGACTTACAATCAGGTGAGGAAACTGAGCATAATTGATGGTTGAGCAGTGAGCAGTGAGCACGCTGTAATGGACAGGTGCTTACCTATGTGTTTATACATTCATTTTTTCATTCATGTTTTTGTAACTTTCCACTTTACAGCGGCTGTTAAAAAGCTACACGTCTTGTAAATGAAAAAGGTGAGACATAAAACGAGATGATATTAACATGATCAAACCTGATAGAACGAGGTGATCAAAAATATATGGGGGCTGAAACAATCTGAATGTATGTATTTATCGACTGATGTGTTTTTATAAATTATAATAGGTATAAAGCCAAAAGACACCAAACTAATTATTACGACATAAAATGCTTTTTGAACGCAAAATTCTTTCACTACAAGTGTTTGTACACTATTCAGGCGTTTAATCCACCGCTCCGAATAACTCTTGTCTAACGATGCATCGGCTTCTCTTGTGTTGCCAGGCATTGAAATGCAGTCCCTGACAAGAAGACCAACAATATGCTGATCCGAGTCCAGGGAAAACGCCGAGCTGTGAGCTGATTCGTCATTCCTTCCCCGTGCGAACTCGCGTGAACCAATGGCTGAACAGATGGTATATATAATGTAACTACATACAACTGCTTACAATAACGTAATTTCATCGCAGGTTCATAAAACTGATTTGTTTGTTTTTATCGTGACCATTCAGCGATATTATCGTCGACTGCATGCATATGAATTGCAGGGTCTTTTCCGTCCATGTTTCTGTTTCTTACCTGCGGCTGCCACCCTGTGCTATGTAAGCAGTGGCGCGGGAACCGGGGGGGCTAGCGGGGGCTGAGCCCCCCAGCTTTTCGGCTGGGGGGGGGGCTCGTAATGTATTTGAGCCCCCCCAGCTGGAGGAATCGAAATAGGAAATCTACCAACATAATTTCATAGATTCATACATAGGCGCGGGAACTGGGGGAGGGGGCAGTGGGGGAAGCTTGCCTCCACAACTCTGCGGCCGTGGGGGCGGTGCCCCACAACGTTTCATGAGTCCAGGAACCGTTGGGCAGCTTGTCCTCTCCAAATTAGGGGTTGTGGGTCGCAAAGGAAGAAAGCATGTACGTGAAAAATCCACCTATTTCACTGGCTCGGCAACTCATTTGGCAGATTAAAACCTTTACTGCAGGTTGCCAAAACGGTAATTTCTTCACTCAGCTGAGACGGAATACCTCACTTTTTGAAAATATTTTCGTTTTTTTATTGCTGTTGAAAAGGCCAATGTCTGAAAAATAAGTGGCCTAAAACCGGTGAGAAAACTAGATTTGGGGGTACCCTAGGTTGATTTCTATTATGGTTTAGCCCCCCCAGTCTGGAAGAAGTTCCCGCGCCACTGTATGTAAGATAGTTTACTGCAGACTTGTAATGCTCACTACAAAGGGGAGTAATAGTGTGGCTACTAGGGTGACCCGCGTGCTCCGCAACGCGAAAAGGGATATTTTCGATCGGCGGGTGTTCGGTTGTTCTTGAGTCGGTTGGGTTATCTATCCATTTCGGTCGATTGCTTTTTGACGGCTAAACGTTTTGGTTTGTGGAAAAAAATATCCACCGCATCGAGGTGCCCGTGTCTGATAAGCATGCTTTTTACTTCAAAATCTGTCAAATGTGCTTTATAATTGAGGTGCGTAGTTTTAAGACAAATGAAAGGCGTAGATAATTTTCGCTAAAAATCGTTTTGCAGAGGTTTAAAACATTTATATTTTTAAGAATACTGTTGCTTGTCATGCAAACGTGATGATTGGATCTTGGAGAGAATTGAATGCTCTTTCTAATGATAGCATTTTCAATTGTCAAGCGTATCAGGTTAAGCAGCAAATCCCGTGTATCTTTTTAGTGGCACATTATGGACAAATACCATTTTAATTCAGCGATTTTTCCACATTGTTTTTGATCAATTAGCTGTCCACAATTTTTCCATGAGAGGCGGTACATTTCTCTTGGCAATTGACGTTGTTTCAACTCTCTCAGTCTGATGGTCACGGGAAAATAAAATAAAATCCAAAATACGTCTAAAATGGCACTTTTTGAAATGAAATTGCCCTCACACTTGCACGTGGCGCGTGCCACCCATGCACCGCACACTATTCGATTGCCCGTTCGATTCTCTACACGATGCTGTTTTCCCCGTGCCGATCGGGCGCACGGCTACCGAGATATTGCACGGGGAACGGACCCGTGTCGGGCAAATTTAGCCATTTTCGCCCGTTTTTGCCAGCCGATTTATACATGTAAAGTCTATGACGCGAATTTGCACTTTTTGGGCACGCGCCACGCGCTCGCTATCGATCCGATCGAGCCGAGACCGCTCAAAGGCACGTTGTCCATCCTTGTTCTATAACTTGCGCAAATTTCAGCGCGGTAGGTGCAACGGTGTGACCTGTAACCCGCGCTACGTAGCACCATGTCGCGACCTTCGTAATAGACAGAAACTACGCCTTCCTCAAATAGTAATATAGATACTTATTAGTCATAACACAGTTTTCAGCATTCACGATATCCTGCAATACGTTTAGCTGGAATGTGCGCCATGTTGCACGCTTCCCAGCATAAGTTTTAATGTTTTTACATTGCCTGTGCTCAAACACTGTTCGTGAACAATTATAACGCATGTGTGCGATGATTACAATATTGCAATAAGAACTTATTACATAATTAACTAAGTACGTGCGTCGGTATAAGAAATGGGCAAGAAACGTGCCGAAAGCATTACTTTTGTATTTACATCGTCAACCATCGGCTGTTTCAATCGCTGACTGGTAGTAATCTGGATAAAGAAACGCTCTTGAACCGAAAACATTGCGGCGCACTGTGCAATGACATATAGCATCTTATGCTCACAGAACGAATCACTCGACTACCTCGTTTCGGATGAATATTTATTCAAATATAAGCATAACCGTTGGCTATACATGGCACTTAGTCGAACACGACATGACTGCGACCGCCCTTCTCGCGCGTATTCGAAAACGATCCACCTTTAGTCCTTATCATTGTACTTTCATTTCATATACCATTTGCATCATATCACTTGCGAAACGAACACAGGCGAAGCGTGATAACATTTGGCCCCGGAGACTGACATGTGTTACCGTGATGAACGACAAGTATATATCTAAAAAAAGCCGTCTGCTACCCCTTTTGTGCCAGGCAAAGAGATGAGACTGGCCTCACGAGGAAAAGCTCGAAATGACTACACGCCGGTACTGCCAATAAAAGACATGCTAACCCTCGCAGCAAAACAAGTTAGAGGCACTATAGTTGATCTGTGAGTTCCGTTTATCCTGTAAAAACGACCTGACTGAGACGAGTTTTATAGAGGCATAAATACGTTTAAGAATCGCTGAATCTCAATATGCGAAAAACTCGATCTTAGCTTAGGTTGGCCGGCTAATCGCGTACAAGCAGAACAACGCAAAACACTGGTAAAAAGGCAACACGAGCGAATGCACTTCACTCATTCCATCATGGCACTTCCATCGCGAATGATCGAGATACTTGCTCAATCTGCGAAGTGTGAACACTAATACCAGTCCCAAATCTTAACACAAAGGTTGAAACGCAATTATCGGACGTCGACTAGGTAATAAATGGTGGCACGAGGAGCGTAAAAACTTCTCCAACACTGCACTGCACTAGATCGAACGGCCCACCATAGACCAGAAAACTTCGGGGCATCATCAAACCCCAGAGACCTTTGAATAGCACCGGAGACCAACGAGGACCATCAGAGGCCCCCAAGTTCATCGAGGAACACCAAAGACCTTAGGAGATCCCCAGGAGCCATTGAGGATCACCATGAACCCCATTGGAACGCTGAAGATCACCAGGAACCACTCTCGACCGCTGAAGATCACTGCACTGGCAGCCACTCAGAACGCAGGCACAAGCGTATCTTTAACACCGCGACAACAGCGACGTCAACTGGCCTCCGCGACAACTAACTCGTTTGCCGCCTGTTGCGCTCGGCGCATGAAGTTTGACGGCCAGGACGAGTACGAACCCTGGATGCGACTTCCCCGCGCAGAGCGATACGATATTTCTGCCGCAGAGCAGCACGGAAGCCAGCTCAAAGCCCCTGCAAGCGCCGCCCAGCCTCCGAGCTGTCCCCTGATGCATTCAGCACTCAAACACGAGGGATTTCACTGCCCTCTTACACCAATTGTTCGCATCCGACCGGGACCGGTATTCGGTAGTGAGTGTCAGCTTCGACCCCCGGCGGCAGACGGGAAGCATGGTCTTCATCCGGCGCAGGAGAGCTCGCCACCGGCGTGTCCTCTCGCTGATCTCTGTGCTCTTCCGAGGCTTCCGCGACGGCCGGTCTCGCGGGGCGAGACACTTTGGTGCCCATTTTTGGCGTGGATGGCACGCGACCCTTGCCGGCTTCGTGGTAGGACGGGTTATAGAAGCCGTTCGGCGGCGACTCGCGCGCCAGCTGCGGCGGTGGCGGGAACTCGAAGTGTCCCGCGCCGTCACGAGGCCGCGGCGAGAAGACGCCTCCATCCGGAGAGGAGTCGGGTCCGGGCGACATCAGCAGGTAACTGTCGTCGTCGACCAGCGGAGCTGGGGCACCTCCTGTGGCACAGAGTTAGCGTCAGCACAGCAGAACACACAACAGCACAGCGGACTAGCGGCTCCGAGCCAGCGGACCAGTGCAGAAACACGAGCAACGAGACATCGATAAAACACCAGCGTCGACACACGAACTTGACCATCGCAAACAAATCGAAATTCTCCTTCCAGTAGCCTCACAAACTTCCCTCCTCACACACTTAACTGTAACCTTTCCCCTTTTTTGTTTGTTTTGTTGGGTTAGGCCAACCTCCCATCACCCCACCCTCACCGTACTCCTTCCCACCCACCTACTACCTCCTCTCCCAAATATCACTGACCTTTGCTGAGGGCTATATATCCGGCGACCCCCGTGTCTGGCCACACGGTGACCCCCTCCTGGGAGCCCTGCGATCCTACGGAGCCCCGCTCGGAGCCTGCGCCGAGGGGTTGGCCGCGCGGCGTCACATTCTGATAGTCGGGACTGATGAGCGTGTTGACGTAGTCCACCCGGCGGTTGAAGTACTCTGAGTTCATCACCTGGTACGGCTCGTTCAGCTGGATGTAGTCCTGCCGAGACACGACGCTTACGGTCAGCAGGGTTGGACAGCACGGCCATGAGTCGGCTTGTATAGCTAAGGTGGTAAATTATAGTTATGAGGTGCACGATGGATCCAAGAAGTGAAACAAAAATTGCATTCGTCTGAAAAAAAATCCATCCTGCGAAAGGCGTCTTTGACGGTAGGCAAACATGATGCGTACAATCTTCGACGTACCTCAAGGAAGTTCCATACACCAACGAGCTGCTCCATTGTTTCTATAGACTATCTCACTGTCATTTCCTTCAGTATCTTGCCTTCCGTGCAACCATCTTCTCCCTAACATATCTAGCATAGTTCTCTAGCTGCTGTGACTGTCCTCACCTTGCTGACCGGCTCCTTTAGGCACTGTTCTCAGTCATCAGTCCTCAACAGCTCCTCACCATTTTCACCTGTACGTCATGAATTGTCTCCAGCCCTTTTTGAGCTGCTGCTCACCTTTTTGACCTGCTCCTCGAGGTAGTGCCCGAGCCGCTCGCTGATCTCGGTGAAGCTGGGTCGGGTACCCGGCGTCTCCTTCCAGCAGTCCAACATCAGCTGGTAAGTGGAGCTCGGAGAGAACTTGGGCGCCTCCATACGGTAGCCGTCCCGCAGCCGCCTGAAGCACGGACGGTGTGACGTCAGCACGTATACGGTGAGGTCACACTAAACCAATGATGACGTCAGCACACTCACAGTGAGATCACCAAACCCACGGACCACTGTCTGTGGCATCATCTAAAAAATTAAGGCAACAGCCGCCCATAAACAAAATCACTTTGTGGTCCTGACGAAGATACAGCCACTAATTGTACATATACGATAATTTTGCTTTCTTCTGAGAAAAACTGTCGCATGTTTCATCACCACGATCTTTTATTAGGTCGCTGAGAGGCGACGTCACCGACCACTCAATCTAAAAAGTACAAATACCCGATTTAGTCTGCATTGCACCTCTGACGGTCTCTACAAGCTGATAAATCTCTTCCTAGCCTATCACACCGTCGCACCGACCTGACGAAGTTGACGTCGTACTCCATGCCGGGGTAGGGCGTGGCGCCCAGTGAGAAGAACTCCCACATGACGACACCGAACGACCAGACGTCAGACTGGGTGGAAAACAGCGACTCCTGAATCGACTCGATCGCCATCCACTTGACCGGCAGCAGACCCTGTGGCGCAGAGGGCAGGCAAGGGGTCAGGTCAGGGGTCAGGTCACGTCAGGGGTTAGGTCAGGGGTCGGGTCAGAGGTCCTAGACAGTGGTAATATCAGGAGGCTTGCCAGCATTGAGAACTGGGCCAGTTTTAGGGTTATGATGGTTTTCAGGGATTATCCAATCACCAATCACACACTTTACACTTTTCGTCACACTGGCACGTACCTTGCCCTTCTTCCTGTAATCCTTTGTCTTATAAATATCCCGCGACAGTCCAAAGTCGGATATTTTGACGATCCGGCTCTCTGCAAGCAGGATGTTGCGGGCGGCCAGGTCTCCGTGCAGCAGTTTGCGCGAGGCCAGGTACTCCATGCCGCGCGCCACCTGGTAGCTCCACTGCAGGAGGTCTCGTGTGGTGAGCGGGGTGCGCCGGGGCCGCCGGCCGCCACCGCTCAGCGTGGCGAACCGCGGCTCGTCGTCTGTGGAGAGAGGGGCGGCGAGAGAAGCTGGTCAGACATCGCTACTTCGTTACGTCTCTCCGTCGAAGTCCATTCAGTTCTTCTTCAAGCCAAGGTGAAAAGGGTCGGCACTAATAAAGCACAATTTAGTTGCTCTGACAACTGTTTTATTTTGGATAACATATGAAACCGTTTTAAATCCAAAGATTCTGAGAGATAGAAAATCCCATCACTGGGGCATCACGTAACTTTATTATTGCGACGGTATTCCAATCAGCCAGCATGCTTGCTTACCACGAAAAAAATCGCATCCCTTTCCTCCTCTGTGTCCCCATCGCTCCCCTCGGCCCATCTCTACCACTCACCGAGCGCGCTGGGGCTCTGGCACACCGAGTCCTCAGCTCCGGCGCCGGTCGGGTCCGTCGAGTCCCAGGCGGCACTGTGGACGCTGGAGCTGGTGCTACCACGCCGCGGCGACCGGTAGAGGCTGCGGCCGGGTGTTATGGTCACCTGGCCGTCTGAGCTGTGTGCCAGACTGGCGTATTGCAGCGGAGTGCTGGCGGTAGTGTTAGTTGGGGGAGGGGCGGGGAGTGTGTTAGTTGGGGAGAGCGTGTTAGTTGGGGGAGATGAGGGTGTTAACGGGGCGGGGCGCGGTGGGGAGGGTGTTAGCTGGGAGGGGAGGGTGCTAACACCCTTCCAGGGTGTAAGCAGGGCGGGGCGGCGAACTATGCAGTGTTAGTCATGGGCGGAGGAGGGAGGTGTTAGTTAGGGGAGGGGAGGGTGTTAGTTAGTGGGTGGGGAAGGGAACTAGTTTTATTGGGCGGGGCGGAGAGTGGTAGTGTTATGGGGGGGGGTATTGGGCTGGGCGGGGGAGAAGTGTTTGTGCGGAGATGTTCGGGGTCGGATAGGTATTCATAGGGCGGAATAGGTAGCGGAGATCAGAGATGTTAGTGGATGGGGATGAGGTTGGGGGATTTTTCGTATGTGTGTGGGTAAGATGGGGAATTGCCAGTGCTCAGCTCATAGTACGCCGGAAATAGATAAAACCATACTTTCAGTTACCGAATAAAAAGAGCGATACTGGCGTCAAACTTGGAAGAATCAGCCATCATATCAAATCACCCTCAGTAGCGGGAGCCACCCAGCTCCGGCTGGTGAGCCCCTGAAACTGACCTCTCTGATGTGGAGTCGCGCCTCATGGCAGCGGCATACTCCTCCTCTCCCAGGGTAGCGTCAAACTCCCCTGTGAAACGGCACAGTCTTAATGGAGACCGACCGACGGAGCGTCATTGACGAAACAGGTCGGTCACATAACGACGACACATCATACTCTGCTGGAGATATTGTGTTTGTTTGTCCAACCGCAGTCGGGGAAAACTGTGAGGTAAAAGTTATTTAAAATTGCTACATTTTACCTCAGGTATTAAGAGGTAACACGCTGAACACTTATATTTTTCAGCTTTACCCTCCCAGAAGCTCGACGTCCGTGTTCGTTAGATGCAGGGATGCGGAGCCGGAGCCGGAGCCGGAGCCGGAGCCGCCGGAGCCGGTATATTTTGCCCGGAGCCGGAGCCGGAGCCGGAGCCGTGAAACAATATAGCCCGGAGCCGGAGCTGGAGCCGGAGCCGCCAAAAAAGGGGGCGACTCCGGCTCCTTTTTATTTTTTGAAGAGGAAAAAAATAATTGACCTAGTTCGGTTTGACAGTACAAGGCAGTAAAACATATCGTACTATTGGTCTCAATATAAGTGCCCAGGCGACCTGTAGTTTTGATGCGGTGAATACCCTCACCCTCGCCACAATGCGTGTGGGGGTGGCGCTGGCTGGGAGGAGGGGTGCACTCGGCCCGAGTTGTGGCGAGGGTAAGGGTATTCACCGCATCAAAACTACAGGTCGCCTGGGCCCTTATCTTGAGACCAATAGTACGTCATGGGCCATCAAGTGCATGAAAAAGCTGAATATCCCCAGTATCCCACAGTACGCAATCAACTTCCTGTCTGCTCCTCCCCCCCCCCCCCTCACGTCTACTGCATCCCCAGAACATGAGGACCGGTCATCAGGTGACGACCATTGTTTTGAAGCCAGTGCAGTGGACTGCGACTCCCAGCACCGTCTCTTCCCACCCCACCCCCCCCCCCCCACCCCCACCCCCACCCCCCCAATGCAGCCGAGATGGGTGTCAGCTTACGATGGTTCAGTGAACTCCGATTCGCGGCGACTGCGTTTCCAATGCCATCGCTTCCTAGTCCTTTGTTCTGCCAGTTCTCTCCGAGGTGCGTTTGCGCGGGGACGCGGTGAGCCGGTCATGGCAAGAGAAGGTAACGCGTATAACCAATCCAATTTTTCTTCCACCCGTATTTGATTGATTGCATAGGGGATGTACTGAGTCGGAGCCGGAGCCGCCGGAGCCGGAGCCGCCGGAGCCGGACCATTTTACTCGGAGCCGGAGCCGGAGCCGGAGCCGCCATAACATTTCACCCGGAGCCGGAGCCGGAGCCGGAGCCGATCTTTTTCTCCGGAGCCGGAGCCGGAGCCGGAGCCGTTTGAAATTTCCACGGCTCCGCATCCCTGGTTAGATGTTTCGCGTCTAGCACTCACCGGTGATGGGGTGCACCTGGTTGATGAAGCTGTTCTTGTGGCGGTGCAGGTACTGATGCAGGTTACCATGGCGACAGTACTCCACCATCACCATAAACTCGCCTGAAAAAGCGCATCAATCACCGTTATGGGTCATCTGCTAACGATTGGGGTAAAGGCTCATGTAGCCTCCAATGTCTCATGACGACAGGAAATGATATCCTGCGGGCCAGATTACAGTATAAAACTCCCATGAACGGTAGGGTATCCGTGTGAGTTAAATATTTCAATGGCCCTGTTAACCGTAAATATCCCAATGTCTGTTGGTAACACGGGTAACTATCGATATACAGATCCCTCACAACTGAACCATAGGCTTCGGCTGAGCCAAGTAGAGCCCCTCTTCCACATGCAGAGGAATATGCAATGCAATTTACTCTGTATCGAACACCAACCCGCCAACCCGAACCAATGGGCATGGCGTATGGGGGGCAGGCATCGGTAGGATTGTGATTGCAGGATTGCAAAATCCTGATTGCATTCCTTTTTGGTGGATTGCACCTGGATTTGAAATCCATAAAAACAGGATTGATTGCGGATTGGAATGCACCATACTTCCAATTTTTGCAATCCAATCCGGATTGCGTGTTTTGGTGTTTGATTAGTGCTTTGAAATGGTTTGTTGCGATTGAAAATTATGAGATCGGCTTCATCGGCTTAATGTATGTACTTTGCATATCAAG